AATTGAAAAAAGAACTGAAGATTCCAGGGCAGCTTCAGGAATCTGGAATCTGTACCACCAGATCTTGTGATCTGTGATCACTTGTGATCACATTTTTCTTTCTCCTTTTCACTTTTCATCCTTCATCTCCTCATTTCTGCTTGGCTCTAGTACCACAAAGTTTTCTCCACAAGTGGGGAACATGGCTGACAGCAGGTCAGAGTCATACCCCACAGAGTGTCTGGCCAAGAGAAAAGAGAGTCTTCCCTGCTGGCTCCAGCCAGAAAAATCCCAGGGGAGAATTCCATTTGAGGGGTTGGAGTCCTATGACTGGCTAAGCCTTGTTCCCTTGCATACCCTTGGGGTCAGGAGAAGGCAGGGAATATTTTAAGAAAGAGAGCTGTAAGCAGGGGCAGCAAAAACCTCTATTGTTTTGTGTCTGTCTCCCAGGTGACCATGGAGGCCGGCGGCCTCCCCCTGGAGCTGTGGCGCATGATCCTAGCCTACCTACACCTGCCCGACCTGGGCCGCTGCAGCCTGGTATGCAGGGCCTGGTACGAGCTGATCCTCAGTCTCGACGGCACCCGCTGGCGGCAGCTGTGTCTGGGATGCACCGAATGCCGCCACCCCAACTGGCCCAATCAGCCTGACGTGGAGCCTGAGTCTTGGAGGGAGGCCTTCAAGCAGCATTACCTTGCCTCCAAGACCTGGACCAAGAACGCCTTGGACTTGGAGTCCTCCGTCTGCTTTTCTCTGTTTCGCCGGAGGAGGGAACGCCGTACCCTGAGCGTTGGGCCAGGCCATGAGTTTGACAGCCTGGGCAGCGCCTTGGCCATGGCCAGCCTGTATGACCGAATCGTGCTATTTCCAGGTGTGTATGAAGAGCAGGGTGAAATCATCCTGAAGGTGCCTGTGGAGATCGTAGGGCACGGCAAGCTGGGAGAGGTGGCCCTGCTCGCCAGCATCGATCAGCACTGCTCCACCACTCGCCTGTGCAACCTTGTCTTCATGCCGGCCTGGTTCTCCCCCTTCATGTTTAAGGTGGGTGCCCGCATCCAGATGGGTGGCCTCTCTGGGCCTGACTTGGGCCTCTTCACAGTGGGTTTATGACCCCATTTTTTTGGAATTGAGGGTTTTGTTGTTGTTCCTATAACACTCCTCTGAATTCTGCACCAGATGAGAAATGGGTAAGGGATCAGTAATGATCAACAATCTGCTTTATTTTTGGCAAGACTGTATTAAAAAATAAGCCAAGGACTCAAGACCCAAACTGCTTTGTACTTCTTTCCTTCCACACTGGACGAACTGGCTCCGCAGGTAGGGTAGCTAGGTGGGAAATCCAGGTCCGCGAGTGTGCCACATGGTGACAGGAAGCAGAGAACACTTCATGCCCAGAGACGGCCAAAGCCAGGGGAGGCTATGCAGGACCAGTGACCTTTAGCCCGTTGGCCCCCCCCTTGGAGAAAGGTTGGGGAAGGTCAGACTTTTACCAGGGGTGACTGGGGAGAGGGTCAGGAAATACCAGCCTACACTTATCTTCTAGGAACACAGAGCACAGCTGTATTCAAAGCCAAGTATGTATTGACATGTGGGTAGATCCCAGCAGAATAGTCTATGGCTTTACATTGCCTGGAAACATTATAGCATCTGGACTTCTAACCTGTCCTAATAAGTATATTGCCACTATGACTACCAGTCAAAACACATGGTCTCTCAGGTTAGTAATAATCATCATATGACAACAGTGCACTTACCATGGGCCTGGTGTCTGCTTTCCAGCCATGAGAGAGAGGGGTCATGCCGTCTGGTTTTCTAGATGAGCAAACTGAGGCTCAGCACAACTAAGTGACATACCCGGGTCTCAGACTTAGTAAGGGACAGAACTAGGACCCAAGCCTATACTCATAATCTAGGTGACTTTCCATCTGTGACTTCTTTTGTTCCCCACAACAAACAGTGGTGGTAGACAGTAGACTTGGTATCCCCATTTTGCTGATCAGGGCCGCTAAAGCTCAGAGACGCTAAGTAACTTTCTCAGGTGGATAATTACTCAGGTGGTTAGAACTCAAATTCTAAGTACTTTTGAAATTAACATAATGCTGGGTTCCTTGGAAACTTAAAAGCCTGTTTTTTAGGCCTAGAATGTTCAGAAGGACTGATGAACAACTCCTGCGCTGGTCTGTAGACCCTGAAGAAGAGTTTGATTCAAGAGCCTTCGCTTTTCCTATGACATTCACTCTTAGAGGAATATGTTTGGTTCAGCCTCTCCTTCTCCCTCAGAAGCACAGTTGCAGATGCTCGGGGGTGGGGCCTGGCATACAGTAATGCTCCGTCCGTGATCATCTTTTAACTGAAAACAGGACAAGGGGCTAGGATGACCTTGCCTGTAGAACGCAAAGGCCAGGGTGATTTCACAGCGGTTTTCAGGGACTTCTGAGGAGAACCCCAGCAATGGCTCTGCATCTCCAGAGAGCTGGTGTTCATCTACAAAGAGGACCCAGTAAGAGGAAAATGGATTTAATTGCAGCAGGAAAAAATTAAGTCAGCCATAAGGAAGCTTATAGGGGTTAAGATGAGTAAGTTCTGGGCCAAGCTCTCCGGGTGCTCACTGCTAGAGAATGTAAAAATGGTTCAGGGGCGGATGTGTCTGGATTACTCAGTGGGATCAGGAAACACTCCCTCCTTTTATGGTTCATATCCTTCTGATGGAATTTAGGGTGAAATCTGGAAACAGTTCTTTTTCAGGAATATAGAGTAACTGGGCTTCTCAGCCAGGCTTGGGAGCTAAGGGGCTCGTCTGAGTGGTGTGTGGGATTCAGCACCTCCCCACTTCAGCGGAGCCTCTGCTCTTTGTGTCCGTGACCCTGGGTCCCAGTGGCTAATGTTCAGTCATCCGGCTCTTTTCCTCACTCTCTGTTAGCCGGCAAACCCCGTATTGCATACAAGCAGCCTCAGAGAGATGAAGTCCTGTCCGAAGTAACACACTTGAAAGAAGCCGAGCTGGGAGTTCTGTGCAGCCAGACTCCAGAGCCCGTCTTACCTACTGCTCAGTACTGCCCGGCTGTGGCAGCACACCTTGTCCCCATCTTCAGGGACAAAGCCTGCTTCCTTTGTTCTGCCCCTCCCCCATACACATATGGGCCAATTGCCACACAGGCCGGACTCTTCCCAGAACCTGTGGCTGGGCTTCTGCACCTGCCTGCCCCAGCCCAGGTAGGGCTCAGCCCCTTGTGGTCTGTCTCCTGCCAGCTCTCAGGCTTCTTCCTGGCCCTGTCCTGAGTTCACATGCCCAGCTGGTGTTCTGTGGGGTGCTGCAGGGCTGACAGAGGGTGGTGCAGGGAAGCTGTGCTGAAGAGGTGAGACCTGGTGAGGCCCCTCACGACCCCACACTTTCTTCATGCATCCAAGACACCAAACTGGGACTCCCTCGCCCTTCATGGGACACAGGAATGTTGCGCTCAATTCCAGCCAGTTCCTCCCTTCCTGATCCCCCTTGAGTGATGCTTGCTCTGCCGGTTCACCTCCCGTGTTACCGTGTTGAGTCCGTCTCCCCCAGCATCCCTCTGAGCACTCAGCTTCTTCCCTCGTCCCCATCTTCACCCTCAAAGCTTATGTTCTCGCTAGATACTAATTGAATATTGGGGGGAATTTACCTGAGACCTGAGGTCTTTAGGAAGGGCCCTGTTGCAGAGCGAGAACTTTCCTGCCTTTATTTATTTCTAGTCCCTTTGTGATTGGAAGGAGGGAAAAACAGGCAACTCCTAATTCTCCTCCCTCTGATTCAAAGCAGCTTCCTGTCCCTGTCCCCCTATGCTGGGGCTGACACATGCCCTTAGGGAGGAGGAGAACAGGATCAGCCAGATGAATGGCCTCTCCAGGCTCCACCCTGCTTAAAGCACAGAGTACTGACCAGCAAAACAGTTCTTATCCCTGTTTCATCTGCTTTCTCTTTTCCATTCCTCAGACAACCTCGGGTCATGTCCAGTTTGACAACTGCAACTTCGAGAATGGGCACATCCAGGTCCATGGCCCAGGTACCTGCCAAGTGAAGTTTTGCACCTTCAAAAACACCCATGTTTTCCTGCACAACGTGCCTCTGTGTGTCCTGGAAAACTGTGAATTTGTGGGCAGTGAAAACAACTCTGTGACTGTTGAGGGCCACCCGTCTGCAGACAAGAACTGGGCCTACAAGTATCTAGTAGGGCTTATCAAGTCCTCCCCCAGCGTACTCCCCACAGAGGACTCGGACTCTTTAATGTCCCTAGACCTGGAGAGCAGGGACCAGGCTTGGAGTCCAAGGACCTGTGACATTGTCATTGAGGGCAGCCAAAGCCCGACCAGCCCAGCTTCTACCTCCCCAAAGCCAGGCTCCAAGGCTGGCTCACAGGAGGCAGAGGTGGGCAGTGATGGGGAAAGAGTGGCCCAGACTCCAGACAGCAGCGATGGAGGCCTGAGTCCTAGTGGTGAGGATGAGGACGAGGACCAGCTCACATACAGACTGTCCTACCAAGTGCAGGGCCCACGCCCTGTACTGGGGGGCTCCTTTCTCGGCCCACCACTTCCAGGGGCATCCATTCAGCTGCCCAGCTGCCTCGTGCTGAACTCACTGCAGCAGGAGCTGCAGAAGGACAAGGAGGCCATGGCACTGGCCAGCTCTGTGCAGGGCTGCCTCATCCGCAAGTGCCTCTTCCGGGACGGGAAGGGAGGCGTCTTCGTTTGCTCCTATGGCCGAGCCAAGATGGAAGGGAACGTCTTCCGGAACCTGACTTACGCAGTGCGGTGTATACATAACAGCAAGGTGCCGTCCTAAGGTTTACTCAACAGACCGTGAGGCCTTCCTGGGTCACTAGGAACATGATTTTGATTAATGAGAGAAGGTTCCTATGGCTATACAGAGGAAGGCTTTGGTGGGGCTGTTTTGCATTTTTTTAAGTCCTCTTCATTCTACAACACACTCTTACCTTCCATCCATCTTTTGATTTGGACAGAGAAGAAACTATTCTTCCCATTTTACAGAAAAGGAAACAGGCCCAGAGGGGAAATGTGACTCAGTCAGGGTCACATAGCAAGTTAGTGGCAGAATTGGGACTAGAACCCAGGTCCTTTCACTATGTCATGATGCTTCTCAAACGTGTCCCCAAGGCCTAGTAGAAGGAACAAGGACTCTTGAGCCTGGGTGAGAGAAAATTGAGGGGCACATGATCACGGGCTTTGATCCGCACTGGAGAAGCTTCCCAGAGAGGTATCCGAGCTTTGTAGGATGAGTAGAGGACGGCCGAGGACAATAGTGTGCATGGGGTGAATAGATGTGGAGTGAGGGCATTCAGGCAGCCAGAACGTTCTATGCTGGGGCCTGGGTGTGCGGCTGTATGCTGAGGATGAAGGAGTGGTTGAAAATGAGGCAGGGGAGGTAAGCAGAACCCACCTTGCCCCAGGCCTGGAAAGCCCATTTGAGAGGCACTGGGACTTTATGCTGAGAGCGGTCCGTGCTTTCGGTGGTGCCGTCATGATCCTGCGGGCTCTTTGGAGTGCTGCAGTCCAGTCGACACAGGAAGGGCTTCTGGAAGGAAAGACATGGCCTTTTAGAAGAAAGCATGGTCTGGCTCCTGGGTTTGAGTCTTACCTCTCCACTGACTCACCACGAGCATCACCATCCTCTTCTGTAAAATGGAAAGAAGCCTCCCAGCCTTGCGTCTCTCACTGGGGCATTGTGAGGGTCCAATGCGGTAATACTGGTGAAACGCCCAGTAAGCTCCAGGGCGTCAGACGCGTGTCGCGGGAGGCTTGCAGATCTCCGGTGGCTGGAATGGCTAACAGCAATCACATTTCATTACGTTTGCCCAGCCACTTCCCAAGAGGGTCTGAGGAGGTGTTGCCCTGAAAGGACAGCGGAGTGCCTCGTGGAGAATAAAGAGAGCGGTCAGATCAGAGGACGGGCTACCGTTTTGCCCTCAGGTACCACTATGATAGGATCTGGTCTGAGCCCCCAGAAGGGTCCTCCCTCTTGCATAGTTACTAGGAGTGTGGCTTCCAAGTCAAATTCTGGCTCTGCCCCTTGTTAGCTGTGTGTCCTTCGGACGAACGGTACTATTCTGCCTTCAAGGAGCGGCAAGGATTAACTGGGGTCATAGAAAGTGTTTCTGGCACAGAGCAAGTGCTCAACAGATGTTTTTGTTTATTTTTTTAAAAGCGCTATTACAGTCCCGTGTGAGAGGTGCCATGGGTGGCGTAGGAGCCCAGCCTCAAGGAAAGGTTTCCTGGAGGAGCAGTGCCTGGGCAAGGTGAGGCTGTGAGACAGCGGAGGTGTGCCTGAAGGCCAGACGAAGGAAAGGACACCACACGTTCACACAGCCACAGCATGAGCTGAGGGCTGCTGCAGGAGACCGGGGAGCTAGCAGGGGTCAGCCAGCTGAGGCACAGACGTCTCGCCACAGAGACTGGAGTTTGCTGTGAAGGCAAGGGAAACTCACAGGTTTTAGGCAGAGGAGAACTGTGGTCAGATCTGTATTTGGAAAGCTCATCTGTCAGCTTTCTGGGGGACGGAATGGAGGGGAATGAGACCGCAGACAAGATCAGTGAGAGGCAGTGGAAAATTGTGGTCCAGAGATGGAGAGGAGGGGACAGGACATTCTGGAAAAGTGGAAACGAGGGTTTTAGGAGGAAGCGGTCAAAGGCCTGAGGCCTGTGTGGCAGAGGCAACAGCAGGAACATAGGAGGTTGGGGTATGGAGACAGAGATGCTGAGTTTGGGGCATTTCCAACGTCTAGCAGAGATGCTGTCTGGTTACCTGGTTCTGGAGCTTTGGGGAGGGAAATGCCATGCCAGGCAGACTTGGGAGCAGATGGTAGTTGGGAGTCATCGAAAAGGAGAAGTGAAAAGTTATACAGCCTTACTTGTAGCCCTTTTAAACTATTGTCTCCAGGGCCTTTGGGCAGGAATTGTACAGCCTATAAATTCCTAGTGAGTCTCTAGAAAAGAACCTAAGAAACTGATATTCAGGATTTTTGATGAAAACTTCATGCATCTCTGGAGTATCCAGCATCAGGTGCAACTATATGCTGAGTGGCCTTCATACAAGCAGGGATCTGTGGGCGGGGGTGATGGGCCTGCTGATCCGCTCCCATGCCTGGGAGCAAAGCTTTGATCTGGTAGCCAGAGGGCAGCCACCCATCCCTGCCCTCTAGAATATCCCCAGGAGAGTAAGACTGGCAGAAAGAGCCCAGTTGCTTCGGGCGCCAAAAAGAAACCGAATGTTTTTCTTGCTGTTTTGTGTGTCATGTATAGAGACTGAGGTCAGTAGCATTTATGTGTGGAGATGAACATACCTCTTGTTTTGCCAGGCCTTCAGAGGACCAGGTTTGGGGTCAGTCTAGTGAGGATTGCGTTGGTTTAGGTTTTGCTTTCATTATCCTCCGCCTACCATAGGCTTCATGTTCTTCATCTTCTGCCAGTTTGCCAGGAGGCTTTGCTCTGCTCCTCAGAGAGGGCCGCCTCCATGGCCTTGCCCCCGGCAGCAGACTGCTTTCAGCTGTGGCTCTGCGCTGGTGGTAGGCTTGCTGTCCTGTACCGCTGTGCTCTGTCTAGTGAGTCTTGGAAGTAGCTTCCTCACCAGCGTGAAGGGGCCTCTAATGATAAGGGCCGAGGTGGTGTTTTTTTCTTTCCCTTCTTTGAGAGTGGCAGGATTTGCTGCCCTTCCCCCAGCCACTTCAGCCTTGTTTGGCAGGAAGGTTGGGGAGAAAACTCCGATGGGGGCTTAGTGCTCTTTCCACAGTGGCTGTGCTAGCTTTCACCATGCCTGTACCATGAGGGAGGCTGTCCCCAGTCTTTCCCCGCCAGCACCTAGCAAGACCCCTGGAGAAGTCAACAGACACACCTACTCGCAGAGTTTCCGCACCCTCACTCTAGTTCACACTTGGCCTTTAACAGTTCGCTAAGATACGTGGCTGGATTCTTACTGGTTCCTGGGGCACCTGCATCTGTGCAGGCGAGCACAGGCTCACAGCTCGTCTCCCGGGAGGGGCCTGTGGTCCTTGGATTTCAGGCTCGTTGGTTGTCCTGCCACCTCAGTTCTCTGATGGGTTCCAGAAAGTATGTGCTGTTGTACATTATCTGATTCTATTCTTGGAAGTGTGGGAGCAGTGAATGCTATTACCATCTTTCTCTATCCTAAACAGAAGGCTTCTCTTGAATCACACTTCTGTTCTACTTTATCTCTCCCAGTCTTTTATTCTAGTGTAATCTATCGTATGTTAGTAGCACACAGTTTATCCTAATGTAATATATTTTTACTATGAATACACAGTTGCTTAAAATAATACAAATGTATTCTGAATTTTTAATATGCTTATTAAATAGGGCAAGAAAATGTAAGTGGCAATATATGCCCTTAAATGAGCAGTGCGCTGGATTGTGGTACTTTATTTAAGGGAGGCCTCCCTGTACCAGTACTCCTAATTGTCCTGTAGTTTGGAGTATCGGTGGTTTTTCCACCCATGGATCATACACCCAAGAAAGATTCAGAATGGACAAGAGTAGGATTCTGTTTTACAAAGTGGAAGAGAAGGTAGGAGGTTATTCTCGGGTGCTTTCTCAGGCACGTGAGTTTCAGCAAAGGCACATGTGGGAACTTGATTCCATTCATTGTAGCTGTGCCCTTGGAACCTGGGGAGATCTTCATGTAATCCCAGTCCACATAGAGTTTGAAGACCACCAAATCCCATCTTCTCTGAGGGCCCCTTCCATCCCATCATTCAGTTATTCTGCTCGCAAGTTGTGAATACAGGGCACAGGCCAACCTTCAGTCCAGGTTTTCCTAAAAAACAAACACACATACAGCTCTGTGGTTGGTAAGGAGCCTGCTGGGCAAAGCCAAGCAGGGCACAGAGCTCACTCTGCTCCTGGGAGCACACAAGGTGGGAAGAGGCAGTCCTTGCCTGCGGGCGGAACAGCAGATGGTAAGAAAAGGACTCAAGTGTTCCCCAAGTGGTTTTTTTTAAAAAACCCGTGACAAGAAAACAAATGGCTTTCTCGTTTCTGCTTAGATCGTCATGCTCAGGAACGACATTCACCGCTGCCGTGCGTCAGGCATCTTTCTTCGCTTGGAGGGCGGAGGCTTGATCGCTGGGAACAACATTTACCACAATGCGGAGGCAGGCGTAGACATCCGGAAAAAGTCCAACCCACTCATATTGGTACTCCTCTCTGTCTTCTTGCTCTTTTCGGAGTGGCGCTTGGTTCTCAAACCTTTTCTAAGATTATTTAAATAAATGTTGCCATCTTGAGCTTATTTATTTTTAAAGACTTTATTTGAGAGAGCACAAAAGGGGTGAGGGTCAGGGGTGGGGGGGGGGATGCAGACTCCCCGCTGAGCAGGGAGCGCAGGGAGCCTGGTGCTGGGACTCTGGAACCATGACCTGAGCCGAAGGCAGATGCTCAACTGACTGAGCCACCCAGGTGCCCCGCTATCTTGAATTTATATTGATTCCTCTTTGGAAGTGGCTCTTACCTTTTTCTCTGTGTGTCCTTGTGACTCTGTGCCTCCCTCTTTCTGTATTAGGAATGGCTTTGAAGATGTCACCTCCCTGCAGTCTCCTTGTCAGTAAGAAACAGGACTGGGTAGACAGGGAAATTTCACAGAGCACGTTCTCAGCCCTGATAGGCTCTGGTTGGCTTTGAGTTTGATGAAAATAAAGATACATCTGCCCCACCAGACACCTGGATCAAAAGTCAAGCACCAAGTTAGGTCATTCTTCATTATAAGAAGGACATTTCAGATACTTAGTTCTGAAGATTCTTTGTTTCATGGGTACTGTGAGGTCATGTGAGTTTGATTTTACACCATCATGAAAGCCACTTAAGATGGTAGAATATGGGGCCAGTGATATGAGAGAACAGCCCCTTTTTCTACTCTGGGCTTCCCTGAGAGACACATTTCCTAGGAACTAGGAGATGTGTCCGACTTCTCATTGGCTTGAAAAAATAATAGCCACCCTATGTGTAGTGCTTATTGTATGCCATATACTGTTCTAAGCACTTTGTATATATTTACTTATTTATGGCTTAATCTTTTCACAACCCTTGTGGTAGAATTGCTGTTATTCCCACCTTACAGATGAAGATACTGAGGCACAAAGAGACTAAGAATGTTGCCCCAAATCATACAACGAATGACAGAGCTGACAGTCAGTCTGACTCAGGGCTGATGTTCTTGACCCATTGCATCAGACTGCCCTTACAAAATGCAGATGAAGGAAATTCCTAACTATATTTAAAGACATGCCTAGCCAGTGTCCTCTTTCAGCCCCTCCTCTCACTGCGCTTCTGCCGTGCAGCTGGCGTCTGATGCACAGCCTTGGCTGAGGAAATTATTGCCACTGTTGCCAGAGAGATGAGAGGAGCTTCCCTCCTAGGGACAGAGGGGACAGGCGGGTTTAGCAGGGGGAAGGGGGCATTCTGTCTCTGTTCTGGCTTTGAGAAAGGGTGACGGGGGTGGAAATGCCACTGCTTACGCTTCCCTCTCCGAGCTTTCCAACCCTGTGAGGGAATTCTGTTAGACAATGGTTGCCTGGGTTGAGTCTGCCAAATCCTTCAGGAGAAAATCTGGAAAGTGAGTAAGAATAGGAGAGCTTACGGTGTGGAACATTTTCAAGCAAGCTAGAACGATGTTTTTGTGAAATCGTTTTGGAAGAGAAACCACTAACTTCCTGGTTTAAGTACAGGAATGTATTTAGGCTGTAAATTAGCAGAGTGAAAGCATTTTGTTATCATTTCTTATGATCTAAAATTTTGTCCCTGTGCAGAAGCAGGTAGCTGGGAAGCTAAGTCTCATATCTGGCTCTGCTGCACACTGTGTGACCCCGGGCCTGCTTCCCCATTCGTACAAAGAGATATTTGAAATAAATCTAAGGGTCTTTGTAGTGCATACACCTTCTGTGATCTCATGCCCCGTGGAACCGTCAGCTCCCCAGAGCCGCGCCGTTCCACAGGCTCCCTGAATGGGAAGTGAGGCATAGGAGCCAAACGGCTCTCCCCCTTCCTTGAAGGTGGCCCACTTGGGATGACACGTGGCCAACATTGTTGTGTAGTGGGGTGCTGCCCTTCCCTGAGAGGTGGGCTCCCTGGCCCCGGGGTGGTCCAGGCTGGCCAGATGTTGGGATGACGGGATGCTGGCAGAGGGTGCTCTGGAGGCTCAGCAGCGTTCAGTGGCATGCTTTGCGGATGCAGAGCAAGGGGCTGGGTGGTGAAGGCACCTGTGTCCAGATTGTCCCTTACAGCTGTGCGTGTGTGCAGGGGCCAGCAGCATGGTCCGTTGACTTAGTCCCACGCCAACGAGGGGTCTTCAGTGGCACTGTCCTCTCTGTAGTGTGTGTTCACCCTGGCCCAGCTGAGGGGCGGTGGTTGAGCACTCAGCTTCTTGCCGACTTGTCTGATCTATCTTCTCTGCTGTCTCGTGTTCCCTTGCAGTGTAACCAGATCCACCACGGCCTTCGTTCTGGCATTGTCGTCCTCGGCAATGGGAAAGGTATCATCCGGAACAATCAAATCTTTTCAAATAAGGAGGCTGGCATTTATATCCTGTACCATGGAAATCCAGTCGTGAGGTATGTGTGCTGTACCTGGGCCATCCTCACCCGTGGTCCTTTCTTTTCTCTCTGATCTCTCTCTTTCCTGCTCCCTGGCTTTCCTCCATTTGAAAACATTTCTGTTTACGAACACGGCTGTCTAGGAGAACAAGCAAAGACCAGACCCCACCCTCATCCCACTGTAGTAACGCAAGTGCTTTCGTTTGCGTTCCCTTCCAGTTCATGGTGTTGCCATTCCATTCAGCAGACATTACTGAGCACCTCTGATAATGGTAACGAAGGTGCCCCCCTCCCCTGGAGCTTACTCTAGCGTTGGGGGACACGTGGGACCAGAAATAACTCTAAGATAGAGATGGCATAAAGGTTTGAGCTTTCAGACCGACAAGTCTGTTGGGTTGAAAGTGGCCACCTAGGATGTTCTGTTAAGATCTGGCCTCAGCACGGAAGCATGCTGTGACCGACCAGCGGGGCGAGGTATAGGTGCGAGGGGCAGGTGCACCGCCGGCACCAGGGAGCTGCCATCCCAGCTCTCGTATGCGGCAGACTGTGACAGATGTTATCGAGGGAATCCTTCTACCTGGGGATGTGGGATGGCCTCGTTTATAGGAGTGCATGAGAGTTGGACTCGGAAATCTGGGTAGCACGTGGACTGTCACGGAAACGGGGCATGGACATTCCTACTAAAGGAAACCACACAAGCAAAGGCAGCAGAGACCAGATTCAGGGCTTAGCTAACTGTCCACTGTGGCTTGAGAACACATCTGACACGTGTTAGATCTTGCTTTAGGAAAATAACTGGCTCAGGTGTGCAGCAAATATATTCTGAAGTGGGTTTTTTTCCCCTTGATTATGCCATACGCATTTTTCCATATTGTTGGGTGGGCTCCATCAGTTTTGGAAAGTTTCAGAACAATCCATTGTTTTGACATTCCATTATTTTTTGGACCAGTCCTAGACCTGTTAGGCAGCTGTTTTCACCACTGTTACAGCAGCTTCTGAAAACAGTTAGTGGTCCCAGAGCCCTTTTTCCATCTTTGCGTGTGTATGTGTATGTGTTTGTCCATGTGTTATTCCTTTAACACACATTTAAGTGTTTACTCTCTATGGAAGGGGACAGTGATGTAGTGTGTAATAATAGCCTCTGCTCCATAGAATTTAGTCTCATGCTGAAGACAAATGTATGAATAACCAGGAGGGGAGACTCACCAAAATGGGTGCTTCCCTAGGCCTTCGTGTAAGTACCAGAGGAACTTGGCACAGTTCTAGCTAGGCGAGTCAGGGAAGGGCATGAGGGGAGTGGACACTGAGCTGTGGGTAAGTCGGCTTTTGTGGCCAGGGAGATGGTATTCTGGGCCCAGCGGCAGTGAAATTCAGCGTGTGTCCTGGAAAAATGGGAACAAATGTGTGTCTTCCACAGGATGCCAGGAGGGTGAGTAGATCAGCCTACAAAGCAGGCTCTTCCTGGAACACAGAACCTCAGATATCTAGTAGGATATGCAGCATAATGGCTCTCCAGATCCATCATTTCCTGATCCGTGGAGCCTATGAACATGTGATCTTACGTGGTAAAAGAGAGGTTGCAGATGTGTTCATTGAGGACCTTGAAATTGGGAGAGTATCGTGGATTATCCAGGTGGGCCCATTGTAAACCTCAGGATCCTTAGAGGGAAGCAGGAGAATGAGCTGGGAGGAGGAAATGGAACAACAGAAGCATAAGTCAGAAGGTTGAGGCTAGAGGCCAAGAAAGCTGGGAAAGACAAGAAATGGATTCCCCTAGACCTTCCAGAAGGAACACACGTCTGCTGACACCTTGATTTAGCCCTGTAGGACCCATTTTGGACTTCTGACCTCCTAAACAAGAAGGTAATAAATCGGTGTTGTTTTAAGGTACTGCTTTTGTGGTAATTTGTTATAGCAGCCCTACACCAATCTGGGAGGTTTGGACTTGACCTTGTGGGTGCTGGTAACAGTTGAAGAATTTTGAGTAAGGACTGGTTACAGTCAGACTGATGTCCTGGTTTTTCAGAGAGAATCTGTGTGAGGGGCACCTGGCTGGCAGGGTGGTTCGAGAGTGTGATCTCAGCCTTGCAGCTGTGAGCTCCAGCCCCACCCTGGGTATGGAGAACACTTAAAAGTAAAAATGAGATCTTTTTAAAAATAACAGCAACAACAACAGCATCTTTTTGAGAGAATACGTTTGGTTTTTTGTGATAGAGGGTGGGGGTCTGGGGGAGGGTACAGAATCAAGTTTGAGATCCCTGAAGTGGCCTGGATAAGGCAAACTACAGGAGTTTCTTTGCCTGCGAGAGTTGTGTTACCTCTTGTGTTTCTCTTTTTGCTTTGGCTGCAAGGAAGCTCAGGGCTCAGAAGGGCTCATCCTCAGTAAATATCCCATCCTTGGTTCTTAGAACAATCATCTGTCCCCTTTTCCTAAATGTTTTCTGATACCTCTTTTATCTTTATTTTGTCCTCCCTGTGTACACACACATACCTATTTCTCCAAGTGGCCATGGGGTCTTTCTGAAGGTAAGTGAGAGTTAGAGTGAGAACCCACCGCCCATGCATTTGCTTCTAAGGCACAGCTTGCAGAAATATGGATGAGGCACGCCCTAGCCCAGGGACAGTCTCTGACCATGAATTCCAGAAGCCCACAGTAACCATCTGCTGATTGAATTGTAACCAGATCAAAGCACACTCCAGATCTAAGGGCAAAAATGGCGATGTTTTTAACAGAGGATTTCACTTGTTCAACTCAAATGCATGGTGTGGGCACAGTTGACATTTGGCTTACCCAGCATGAACATAATTTGCTGTTTTTTTTTTCCCAAGGACATAAACCATTTGGACTCTGCCCTCAGAAATGGAAAGCTTAGCTAAATCCTACTCAGTGAAGTTCTGTGGGGTGCCAGGCCCCGTATCAGGCTCCAAAGAGCCAGATGAATTCTTGGACCTAAATCCTTCAGCCACATGACGGGAGTTGGGAGGGCTGCCTCCCAAGACAGGAGGCAGGTACCCTTCCAGGAAGAAAGGTCACAGCATTCCTGTCAGTAAAAATAACAAAGAGCAAATGTGTGTTCTCCAGGGATAACCCAACTGTGCTGATGTCTGGGTGTGACTGGCCTTGTTTTAATAGGAAACTCAAGTTGCAGAGACTGGGAAGCAGTGCATGTCCTTCAGATGCTCGGGTTTTTCATTCACAAGGCCTTTCCGGGGCCGTGAGGGCTGTTGTGTTTCTCTGAGCAGGAGCGTGTTTTCCTTTATCTTCCTCATGTGGCTAACCCAGCCCATGAGGTTTTATGTTGGTTACACATTGTCTGTTATTCTTTTTTTTTTTTTTTTACACATTGTCCAGTATTCTTAAAACCCCATTTTTAAAAAAATTTTGCTTTTCTTCTTTTAAGGCATGTCATCATCATTTTATGTTGTCATTTGGTGGTGGTTATATATAGAGGTGGTGGTTAAGGTAATGGAAAAGGTCATGAGTAGCTGTTGGATACAAACAGAAGATGGTAGGGTCACTATACGCAGAGAACAGATTCAGGCTTTGGACACAAATCATGCCCAGAGAAGCTTAACACAATCTCCTAGGAATTCTTGACACTACCATGACTTGTCGCCTGTGCTCCACAATGACCTGTGTTTCAACTGGTGTTTGTATGTGAGCGATAGTCAGGAGAGGCTACAGAAATGTGAATATCATTATGCTTGTATGGCCTAGTTGTAGGTTTAATTCCGGATCAGGTTGTCTCTAGGATAACTGACAATTTTTTAAATGCCTGGGTTTTAGGACTTGAGAAAATGCTGTATGCCCCTGTGGACTTGAGTCATCTGGGGAAAGCTACAAAAGAAAGAAGTCACCTTAGGGTTGCCTGGGTGGCTCAGTCAGTTAAGCCTCTGCCTTCGGCTCAGATCATGATCCCAGTGGGATCAGGTCCCGCATTACACTCTCTGCTCAGCGGGGAGCCTGCTTCTCCCTCTCCCTCTGCCTGCCACTCTGCCTACTTGTACTCTCTCTCTGTCAAACAAATAAATAAAACCTTTAATAAAGAGAGAGAAGTCACCTTGGGCAGGCATTGGTTTTGACACATGACATCGGTCTGGCCTCACTCTCTTCTTCTTCCATTTTAGTGGGAACCACATTTTCAAGGGCCGTGCAGCTGGCATAGCAGTGAATGAGAACGGCAAAGGCCTCATCACAGGTAGGAGTGGGAACTTCTACAGCTGTGGCCAGCTGAGCAACCAGCAGCCAAGCCAACATCCCTGACCTTGCCCCCAGCCAGTCCTTCTCCTTGACCGACTGGCCACCGCCTCTGACTAGTGAATGAGCACTCTGGGACACTGGCCCCATGCACTGGCCCTGCTTGTCCCAGGGAGGGGGTGTCTGTCTGCTCTTTGCCAGGTCCACTGCTGATAGGATCTCCCTGGATGGCTCACATAACACGGTCAGAAACACTTAGGACACACAGACCGAACCCCTCTTCTTGTCTTTTCTATGGACTTGTGCCTGCTGTGGAACCCCAGCCCCTTTTCCCCGCTGCCGGGCTAACTCCTCCCATCCTTCAGGTCTCAGCCTAAATGTCCCTTCCTCAGGGAAGCCTGCCCTGCCCTCCCGTTGCGCACACACTCACTGTACCCAGCAGGCATGCTCTGTAGGACATCTTACTTTCTTTGTGGTCTGTGTAAGGTCAGTCTCCTCTCCTGTAAGGCAGCAAATTCTCTATGACCAGGATCAGGTCTGTGTGGTGCATGACCGTAGGCTCCGCACAGAGCATAGGAATACCCGGGGCATGAGAGACTTGTCCAGTGAGTCCCGCTGACTGCACGCACATGTCCTTCATTCATCAGACATTCACTGAGCACACACTGCATGCAGGAGCTGGGGCTACAGCAGTGAACAAAACAAGCTGTGAAACTGCTGCCTTTGGGGTCCTGCTGTCAGGAACTGACATTTTAGGAGGGAAAACAAACCCACACACATACACACACAAAAGAAACATCTGGGTGGTAAGTGCTTTAGAGATTAAATCTCTATATAATTAACTTTATTATATATTTACATAAATCTATTTTATATGTATTTTATTTATAAATATGTAATATGTAAACTATATATAATTTATTGAAATTAATTAAAATAAGGTGATAGAGGGACTATGTGGGTATTTAAGATTGTGGGCAGGGCAGGCCTGACCTGAGAAGGTGACCTATAAGTCAGACCTGAGTGATGGGACAAAGCCTGGGGAGAGAATCAGAATTCCATGCAGGGCTGCCTGTGGAACACCGTCAGCACACCTGGGGAGCAGGGAGATCGCTCGTGTGACTGGGTATGGTGAAGTGGGCAAGGGGTGGGATGGGGTCACAGAGGCAGGAAGGGACCTGTCACACAGGATCTCCTGGGCCATTGCACTCCAGTCCCAAGAGCCTGAGAGTCTGCCCAGCCATCATGCCAGAGGCATCAAGGTCCCAGCACAAGCCCCCCGACTTGTGACTCCCGGAGAAGTGGTGGATGAGGAGAGGAGAGGAAAGCTGTGGTCAGTCCAGAGCTGAGGCTGAGAAGGACCAGCTCGTGCCTCCCCAGGCTGGTGGGGGAAATGGCTGGAGTCTGCCTCAGCCCTCCCAGAAACAGCCCCCAGGACAGGCAACCCTGCCTGGCCTTGGTCCAGGGACTCTATAGCCAGTTTATTTTTAGTCATTGGTCCTGAAGGCCACTGGATACAGTGGAACCTAGAGATATAAGAGAGCACAAGACAGTTAGAGACCTTGCCCTTGAGGAAAGCCCATAGCGCTCGGGTCCCTGAAAAGTCAAACACCAGGCAAGATTCGGAGTGGTGACTTCTGACAGTGCGGCCTGGGTGTCCTGGTTCAGAAGGTTCTTCTCTCAGCTGTCCCAGTCTTCCTGGCCAGTGTGGGTGGCCCTTGGTCTTGATCCTCTCTTCTGCCTCTCCATAGAAAACGTCATCCGTGAGAACCAGTGGGGAGGCGTAGACATTCGCCGTGGAGGAGTCCCGGTCCTCAGGAGCAACCTCATCTGCTTTGGCTACTCAGATGGTGTGGTCGTGGGGGATGAAGGCAAAGGACTGATAGAAGGAAACACCATCTACGGTGAGGCAGGTTCCTGGGGGGTGGGGTCCGGGGTCCGGCCCAGACAGGGAGGCAGGAAGCCCAGGTTCCATCTCTAGCTGGTGGGTCCTGAGAAAGTCACTGCCTGTCCCTGGGCCTCAAAGACGCCCTGAAGGACAGCGTCAGTCTCAGGCCACAGGCACACAGCCCCTCTCAGAATGCAGAAGCCTCTCCTAAGCCCCCTTGTGACGCATGCAGTCAGCCAAGCAGGGAGCTTCATCGTGATTTAAAATAGCAAAAGGTGGGGGTTGTGTGAGGACAGAGCCACGTAGGCTCTGACATGTGGGCATCTACCTCTTACCCTTTGTTCTGCTCCCGAGAACTAGAAATCTAATGGGAGAACTAGGATAGCCCTGGAAAGGAAACTGTTCTCACTCAAAGGAAACTGTGCCTTTGAGCAAACCTTACTCTCTGGACTACGCCTCTACTAGTCACAAGAGCTAACGTGGGTTCTCAGCTATAGGGGCTTTAGCTGCACATTCTGTCGTCATGACTGCCTGCTGAGGTAGATACGGTTATTAACCCCATTTTAAAGATGAGGAAACTGAGACACAGAGAGGTTCAGTAACCTGCTCAAGGTTACACAGCTAGGAAGGGGTATGGCTGGGACTCAGACGGAGGCCACCTCCGTCTCTCTGCAGGACAGGGTTGTGCTGGATGAACTCTGAGGACCCTTTGGTGCTGTCCCTCTGGGTTTGTGTCTTCTGACCTGGAAGTGTGGCCTACACCGTTCTCAGAGCACTTTTTTTAAAGATTTTATTTATTTGACAGAGATCACAAGTAGGCAAAGAGGCAGGCAAAGCTGGGGGTAGGGGGGAGCAGACTCCCTGCTGAGCAGAGGGCCCAATACGGGGCTCGATCCCAGGACCCTGGGATTATGACCTGAGCCAAAGGCAGAGGCTTTAACCCACTGAGCCACTCAGGTGCCCCAAGCACTTTTAAACCCTATGGAATGATCCTGGTTGTGAAACTGACCTGATTGTTATCCCTCTTGTATGAAGGAAAGGCCTCCAGCCAAAAAGAAGCTTGTCTGAGGCCATTAGCACATCAGGGCCTCCTCTCCCACGCCAGTACTTCCCCCCTCAGGGAGATACTGGGTGCTGCCTCTCTGCGGCTCCGTGTCCATGACCAGCTCCTTTCCCTGTCCTAGCTAATAAGGGCTGTGGCGTGTGGATGATGTCATCCAGCTTGCCCCACGTCACCAGCAACCACGTCAGCTACAATGGCCTGTACGGAGTGGCAGTGTTTAGCCAGAAGGATGGTTCTGGGGAGTTCCCTGGAGGGCACGGGGCGCAGGAGAACTTCAGCGAGGACGGAGATGCTGTCCTTTGGGAGACGGAGCTGGAGAAAGATGACGACCCGCTGCGCCGGCCGGTCACTACAGCTCTTGTTGAGTCTAACAGTATTAATCACAATGGAGGTGAGTGCCTGCCTGCTCCAGAGCCTTCCGTGCTCCCACCGCCTGCCTTAGGAGGCACTCTTCTCGCTTTGTGGCCTCCTTTCAGCCACTCCCCCAGCCCTCGGGACATCATCTTCCCTGAACTTAAATCCATCCTGTCCTGCCCCCAGCCCCATTTCTTCCCTGAAATTCCCTTTCCCCTTATCCAACATCCCAAAGAACTTGAAGTTCACAGCCAACTCTGAATGTGCCCTCTCTCCTGACCCTCATCTCTCACCCTTACTCTCATCCCGCTGGCACTTACAGGGCCTGGGATGGGATCTGTTTCTGTGGCTGTTTCATCAACTCTGACAGGCTATGAATGTGAGACAAGGAGCCAAACCCCACTCCTGTCAGCACCCTGCCCCACCAAATCCCATACCCAGCATCATGTTTCTAATCCATTCTGAGGTACATTATCCACATTTTAACATCTAAGGACACGCATTTGTCGTTGATGGCATATCATGGTTTAATTGTTGATTTTTCTTTCTTATATCGAGAATAAGTGTGTTTTAAATCCACTGGTTATCTTAAACTGGATAAAAACTGATAAATACTCAGTGCTTATTGAATTGAGGGGGGAGAAGAAGCATATGAAGTAGATCTAAGTCCAGGTTCCCAAACCTGGCTGACCGTCAGGACCGCGGTGGCAGCTGACGGAGGTAGTCTTGTTAAAAGGAGGCTCCTGGGCACAGGCGAGCTCTCACCCTGGGACTAGCAGAGGGCAAGGAGAGTGGGAGCCAATTGAAAAGGAGTTCTGTCCCCTCCCAGGTCAGGGCTTTCTTCATGTGGCCCTGCTGTCTGTAGGACAGGCAAAGCCACATAAATTCACAGATCCTTGGTTTATGTTTGCCGTTCCCACCAGGCCAGGAGAAGCAGCAGGCACGTGGCACCAAGAGGCTGGAACTTGCAGACTCCCGGCCCACTGTGGCCCCTGTTGGCCTCCGCCCAGCCTCCTCCCTGCACTGCTGGTGTCTCTTGCTCTTGTGGTGGGCAGATGTCACCATGGGGAGTCCTCTCCTCATCATCCCCAGGTCTCCCTGCCCTGCTATCTCTTCCTGACCAAGTCATGTGGCTCTACGCCTGCTGAGTTTTATACTTTTTTTCTAAAAGTATGTAGTGTCTCTAAGTATATACAACCCCAAACACTATTTTCTTTCCAAAATTTCTAACATATTTTAGATATTTAGCTTATAAATTTTTCTATTCAAAAGTTACAGAATTTCCCTTGTGAAGGAAATGTCCCAAAACAATAGAGAGGCTTAGAAAAACTGAGCAACTTTCCAGCTGGTAGCTCTGTGTGGAGGTGGAATGGGCAGGTGTAACAGGTAGTGAGCACCCCATCACAGGAGGTATGCACAGCAGTAAGATGGTGACACGGGACACATGTGAGCAGGGAAGGAGAGCCTGGGTCTTGTGAGCCCCTGAGCTCAGGGAGTCTTGTGTCACCTTGCCCTGTTTACTGAGCACTTAGTTCAGAAGGAACAGAGCTTCCTTGATGTTCCTGGGTTTCCTCCTACTCAGTTTGTCCTACATCTTGAAAGATGGAACTCCCAAGGGCTGGTTCTGAGTGTGGGTGCCTCTTCTTCCTCACCTTTCTCCCAGGGTGCACAATTGCATGGAGGTTTTTCCTGACTGGTGTTGTCAGAGCTGACCCTACTCCCAACCCCTCTACCCGTAGCCTCAGGCCTCTATGTCCAGAGCAGTGAGGCGCTGCACGTCCTCACCAACGTGATCCATGCTAATGGGGACAGAGGTATCACGGTGGCCCAGAGCAGCCAGCTCACCCGCGTAGCCAACAACAGCATCTCCTGCAACCGCCAGAGTGGAGTCAAGGTCGAGGCCCAGTGCAAGGTGGAGCTCCGGGGCAACGGTATCTATGACAACAGAGGCCATGGCATCATCACCAAGGGTGACAGCAGCGTCGTCATCGAAAATGACATCATTGGCAACCGAGGCAGCGGGCTGCAGCTCTTGCCCAGGTCCGACACGAAGGTGTGTATGTGTACGTGTGTCTGACTCATGGTGGCAGCACAGGGCTCAACCCTAGGACAGTCCTCACACTCTGTCCACTGAGAAGCCCGAAGCACTCGGTACCACCAGGGACATCCTTCCTCCTGCCCAGACACAAGTGGGGCTTCCCACGGGAGGGGGCAGGTGGACTGAGCCCTAAAGGAGGGACAGGAGCTACCAGCAGAGAGCCGGGGTGGGGGTGCCACTGGGGGCATCTTGTGGTCTCCAGGTCAAGCTTAGAGCTCTTTCAGCCCTCCCACTAATAGCACTGCCTCCCATAAGACTGAGTATGCAGTAGGTGCTTAATGAGGAGAGCCTATGTGCACACTATTCCCTGTATACCCTGCATACTCTTCTCCCCTTCTCTCCTCAGTCCTGCACCTGGGCTATCACTTCCTTCAGGAAGCTTCCCCTAATTCCCCCAGGCTGTCTGAGGCACCCCTTTTCTGGACATCAGGGGTGCTTATGCCCACCCCCACCTCACAGAGCACTTCCCACAGTGCTTTGCACCTGCTCTTCTGCCTATCTGTCTCCCCCAGAATTGTCTGCAAAGCACTGCGCTGGGTGCTAGGGTTTCAGTGTTGGGCCGGACCGACTCAGTCCCTGCACTCGTGAAATTACCATCCCAAAGCCTTTTTTTTTTTTTTTTTTTGGCTCTGCAGCTTCTTGAGTAGTGACTTAGGCAAGGAGGAAAGAATTCCTTGGCTCTACATCTGAAAACGATGGAAACAAAGGAAGGGGGGTTGCGGGAGACACGTTGTGGCCTCAGGTTGCCAATGGTCCTTGCCTCTGGTACAATCTCTCCTCTGTGCCAGGCCTTTGCATGTTGTTCCTTCTTCCTGGAACAGCTGTCCCCTGCTCTGCATCTGGTAAGCTCCGACAGCTTACCTGTTATCCGCTTCAGGAAGCCTTCCCCGATTCTCCCCACTTGATCTCGATTGCCATTCCCTGAGCTCCCGTGGCGCGGTGCTGCCCGAGCATGCTCTCACCACTCCGCTTTAGAACTGCTGTTTCCCTTCCTGGCCCCCTCACCAGTCAGGGAGTCCCCACGGTATGACAAGCTCTGATGGTCTCTCCCAGGTAATCAAGAACCGGATCCATTCGTTCCGGGCCTACGGCATTGCAGTGCGGGGCCGCGCCAAGGCCCTGGTGCAGGAGAACATCATCTTCCAGGGCAAGACCAGCAAGACCATCTTTCAGCAGATCTCCAACAACAGGGAATGTGTCCTGCAGAACAACAAGTTCTTGGTGTTCAAGAAAAAGTAAGTGTCTGCCGTCTGCCGACACCCATCTTCCAGAACCACAATGAGGTCACAGGAGGAGCCAGGCCCCGTGACTGTGGCAGCCCCTGCTCCCCACAGTCCAGCCAGCTCTCGGCCCTGGTCGGGTTATTCAGGCCAGTGCTAAGGCCCTGCACCCGCCTCCCTGGGAGGGAAGAGGCTTGAAGAGTCCGGGGTGTGGGGGTGCAGATCTCCACTCCGCCAGTCACTGGCTGTGGAACCTCGGGCAAGTTACTCGGCACCTGGATCCTTAATAAAATCCACTTATGGGGCGCCTGGGTGGCTCAGTGGGTTAAAGCCTCTACCTCTCTCTCTGCCGGCCTCTCTGCCTGTCTGTGATCTCTGTCTGTCAAATAAATAAATAAATAAAATCTTTTTTTTTTTTTTTTTAAAGATTTTATTTATTTATTTATTTGTCAGAGACAGAGGGAGAGAGAGTGAGCAAGCACAGGCAGACAGAGAGGCAGGCAGAGGCAGAGGGAGAAGCAGGCTCCCCGCCGAGCAAGGAGCCCGATGTGGGACTCGATCCCAGGACACTGGGATCATGACCTGAGCCGAAGGCAGCCGCTTAACCAACTGAGCCACCCAGGCGTCCCAATAAATAAAATCTTAAAAAAAAAAATATCTGCAGTGTAGCACCAAATTGAGAGAAACTCAGGTCACATGACCTAGCAGCCAGAGGTAGTCCCGAAATGTCAACTGCTGTCACTGCTGCTGTCACTTGTTTTTAATACCTCTGCCTCTGTGTAGCACTTTTCTGCCCTAGTCTTCCTTGTCCTTCCCTGCCCCCCATATCAGCGACCTCACCATCCCTCCACTCTGTTCTGGCAGCAAAACCTCTGTGACCAACTTCTCCCTAACATCTCAGTTCAGTCAGTCAGTTACTAGGTCCCCTCCTCTTCCCAACTGCCATCACCCCGACCTGTGGCCCTGCTGCCAGGGTGCTGTCGTCCTGGTCTGTGGGTGGACCGTGTTCTGCTTGCTTCGCCGCCGCGCTGGCTCAGGAGGCAGCCACTGCTGTGGGCCTCACTCCCGCACTCTGACGACCCTGTCCCGCGGCGCCGGCTTCCTGCCTTGTGTCCCGGCCCCGCCTCCGCGGGCTATCCTGTGCATCCTGCCAGGTTACTCGGTCTGTCAGCTCTGGTCCTGCCATGTCCATGGTCAGAAACCTCTGATGGAGCCCCTTTTTCTCTGTTCCTTTTTTAATTATACACTTTCTGTAAAAACAGTTTTTGAGGAAACATCATATATGTATGTTTTATATATTCATAACTTATGACGTAGGAAAAAAATAGAAATTCTAATCTTTTTTACCTATGTCCCAGCAGATCATATATTGCAGACTCCTTGAGGTCTGCTTCCTCCTGCCCCTTTGGGGACCCCAGGATACAGAGAGCGCAGAGCTGTCA